TGGAGCGAGAGAGGAATCATCGTTTTGTTCTAGTTCAAGTTACTCTGCTACGACATCTGATAGATATACAGTTGCACTAGTAGATTAACAACTACAAAATACACGTATATTATAAGTTATAAAGATTGTTGACAGGTTACATGACCCTATATAAACGGCTATTTGTAAATATAACTCGAGCCGCCAGGCGAGGGTTATATTGCAAACAGCCGTTTATATACGGCCATATAGCTTGTCAACAATCTTTAAAACGAATTTATAATACAGCAAGTATCATTTTTTTTAAAGAAAAAAGACATTAGTAAGATTTCTTCATGAGTCGACAGCAGCCGTGTATATAAAACTTTATAAACGTCACGATTATCCAATGAAAAGTGACGTTACAAACGTGCATTATTATAAATGTCGACCAATGCATTAGTGAAACATAATGTGTAGATATATACAAATAGACTACATATAACACTATAAAAGCAAGTGAACCTTTTCCAACTAACATAATACAAATACTTATGTTACTGATGTTATTAATTTGATATTATACTTTAATTTTAATTATCATTCTACTGTTTATATTAAGCAAAGGGTGCTATAAGTAATCAGATATTAAATAAATATTGTCTATCGTTTGTATGTACCCATGTTATCAAGTAATATAAATCACAATTATGGTTCGAACCTTCGGGTCGTCTGATGGCAGACCAGTAAGCCTCTCCTACCTTTAATAAGTATTATTTTACTAACCAAATGATATAGTTAAAATCTCAACACACCAACTTATTTATCAAATGAATATATTATGGCAACATTAATACGTATGGTTGGTTATACATGAATACATAAAGAAAATAAAAATAAAAACTCTACATAATTTTATTGGCTGTACATATGTTACACGTTTGTAATAAGGTTAAGCATTGTTTTCGTTTTATTATTTGCTTGGTTGCTCTCCTTTTCATCGAAAATACACTACTTACATAGCCGATATATTGGTGGATGAAAAATGTTTTTACTTTTTACATTGTTTACACATTCACTACTATCTTCTGTTTCATTCTAACTGATAAAATGTGCTGATAAATCGCATAATTATCATCTCAGAGTTATTTCTTACAAGTTTACAGCCTGATCTTGTGATTATAAGATATCAATCTTTGATAATTCTACAAAACATTTATGTTTTAAGGCCAATTATAGTTCTTCTTATACAAACGTGCTGTAACTCAGTAACATTAACAATTCCCTTGCATTAAAAAGGCATACTAGTTTCTGAGTACTATTTTCACAAACTAGAAAATGGTTTAACAATAGAGTTACTGATTTAAAACGAAACTTGCAATTGTTCAATGTTTTTTTGTTTTTTTATGTCACAATTAATTAAAGATTCATTGAAAAATATACAAAGTATAGTAAAAAGATGTTTAATAACTTACCAGTTAATTAAGAAGTTCTAAAGAAATTTACTGTTGTAATACATTTATAGCAGCATACATCTTTTTGATAAATTCTTTAGAAGGTCTGTTCTCAAAATATCAAAATCGTTTTAGATGGGGACTTTTATGATCGAAAGGCTCCTAAAGAAAAGATCTTTATCAAAAGCTTAAGATGAAATTAGCGTTCTGTAGTGTCTTATCTTGATGAAGTTTATATTTTAGATATGTCTCAAAATTGTTGAATAAAATACAAAAAAGAGCATTTATTACATAAAAAACCAGCGTTAACTTTCAAGTTTGTATGGGAAATATGTCTCACAATTTGAAAAAATAAAAATAAAAAAAAAAGAACGGAACATTGTCTACACAATATCAAGTTAGTATGGGAAATATGTATAAACATTTTTGAAACAAATACAAGAAAAAGATCTGTACATGAACACAAATATTTAACGAAATCAAAATATGTAGATCTAGTAACTTTCGGCTGAAACAATTCATTATAAGCCACAAACGACGGAGCAATGTTAACGTTTGTAAAAGATTCAGAACGATGTTTGTAAAAGCTTGTTATCGGTATCAAGCTGTTATTAGAACATATATCGTCCACGTAAAACCCATCAATTTATTATATTTAACAGGATCTTTCTGGCATATATAATTGATCAGCAAATGAATGCGAATGTAATAAAATGTTAACGGATCAAATACGGAATGGTTTCAGATGTTACTTTTGGTGTTAACATGCCTCGTGATATGCTAATTTGTACGACCAAAACACAAGCTCATGTGTTAGTGGGGACAATAATACTATTTATTAATAGATTTTTATTAATGGATATTGTACCTGTAATACATATATCACTTTGTTCAATCATTGTGTTTTCTGACCAAAATGTGGAAAGAAATTACTCTGCTTGAATAGTTTTATTACAGTTTAATAGATAAGTACAATTTAAATTATATATTTCCAGTTGGATATGTTAATATAAGGTTACAGGGGTGTAAATAAGACATAGTTATATGTATTTATATTACAATAAAACTCTTTATACCATTGTTTAGACAAAATATGTTCTTGCTATTTTTATATGAATATATATAACATAGACGTTGCTTTTGTTATTTTGGCTTCAGTATCACTATCAGATGTAACAGATTATCTCTCGCCCAGAATCTGTCTTATACTTTATCTCTGCTACATGGGGAAATTAATTGAAAAAGGCGGAAGAATTTTTATGCCGTCTTATATGACAAAATGAAAGCTAACATAAAGCCAAAACATGTTATACTCGTGTCCGTGTAAGATATCCTACAAACAAAGATTAAGCACTGAAGAGTCTATATCAACATAGCAGGTTGTTTATTATACTAACATCTATGAAGATATAAAAGCTTTCCCACCAGGTGATTGGTAATTACCTCCCATAATACACTGGGAGTGTCATTTATACTGGTATAATTAGCTTTTTGATAACAACTTTTATCTTCGTGTGTGTTTTTACACCAGTATCTTACAGCATAAATAAATGATGATATCTATGTTTAAATATTTAATTTAGTTTGTTTTTGTTTGTGGTGGTGTTCGGTTTTCGGGTGCGATCCATAGAATATTTCAATTGCTATTTGTAAACTTTAATTTTAAATTAAATACATATGCTGGTGAAATTTGTATTGACCAATCTTTATACGCATAATTGGCCAGTGTGGAAATCGTAATAGCAATAAACATAATACGTTAAACATCAAAGCGATGCATCGTTAAGCAACTCCTTAAAATTAGCTAGGAAACGATTGCTGATACATATGGTATGCAAATGATAGGAAACAATGCTCAAATGTTGCTTACAGACAAGTACTAAAGATTGACAATCGATTATACCGGTACTTTGTAATATTTAAGCCTCAAACATGTAACACCATGAAGTACTGTGTTCAAAATGTGTCTTAACTTTTAGTATTTGCTTTAAAATAAATAATTTGTATGTACCATCATGGTACAGTATACAAAGTAATAAAGTTGTATGTGTTTAAAATTTTATTCTTATTCACAAATCTTTTTTTTTTGTTATCCTTTGTTCAAGAGTGTTAAATGCACCATATTTTAAGCAACAGTTAATATGGTACATGTATAAATGTGTTTATTTGTAACTTGAAAAACACACTTCTGTAGTTTTTATCGTCATCATTCATTTATGTAATATTTTAAATTTTCTGTGTACCTGGACTAAGAACTGCACTTAAAAGGTAAACTTGATAGCCATAAGTCAAACGACGCAGTGAAACGCTCGTTAAATATGCAAAAGCATATCTTAAATATCTCTGTGATCCGTAAAAGCTTTTAAAATGAAACTTCTGAGAACCAGATCTTTGAAATCATCTCTCATGAATAATAAATAAATAACAGAGAAAAGTAAAAAATGTGCAACCATTTGTATTAGAAAGAAAACATTTAAAACAGTTTAGATTATTCGTTTTGTGGTGTAGTAAATACTATGTGATAAGTGAAACCAGCTTGTAAAATATTTATTGCTGCTACCAAATTGAAGTAGATTATAAAATTTTATAACTGATATCCTGGCAGGTTTTTATTGTGTTTAATCAATAAGAAATTGTATTTGATACAATTGATAGTTTTAATTTTAGAAATGAAATTTCAGTAGAAAACAAGAGAATTGTCGTTGTGTCTTTTTTTAGATGTTATAACTTTTCACATTATACAAGACTTTATGTATTATTGCTGTCATATAAGTGGGTTAAATAAAACATCATTATAAACTTGTATGTTTTAAGTGAGCAAAGGGGGATATTTCCCTAGCGCCTTGCTTACATTCCTGGGCACAGAAGAGTCATACCCGCATAGCATTCTCGAGAGCTTTTGTACAAAAAAATCGTCGACATTTATAGGGAAACTATTTTATACACGGACATATTTTTGTTTTGTTGTTGTTTTGTTTTCTGTCTTCAAAATTAAATATTGGTAGGAATTGCCTATCAATTCGATGTTACCAGAATTGTATAGTAGTCATTAAGTATAATTTCAGTCCGATTTCAGGCCTGTGTTTTAAGAAAGATGCATATTTCTAAATCGAGTTAAACAATTGCATAAAAGTCGATTTATCATCGCTTGATACATGCCTTTTATCATTTGTAGATTTTTTTTAAATATTCGTTAGTATATCTTTTTCAAAGGTAGTTTCGTAGCAACAATTAACAGGTCGTTGTTTGAATAAAGAATAATATGGGGAAAAACAATTTTCCGATATAAAATTATTGCATTTGTTAAATTGAGGAAAAATAACAAAAATGAATTAATTCTTTATATCAACATATATTCTCATATTGTACAATTAAATGTTAAAGAACCTACACATATGTTAAACATATATTTAGAGTTACGTGACTCGTATATAAATTGATGCAGATGATAACTGTCAAATATGAACCAGAGCCTGCAAGACTCGTGACCTTTAAAATAAAATCTTATCTAGTATTATAATGTCATATATGAGAGTATAGAATATTTTGAAATTATTAAATGTTGTACTTTCTTTTTTTTATTTTCAGTGTTTTGTTCCCCCCGGGATCATAATTACGACTACTACCCTAGTCCTCGACCAACGTTCTTATCTGGGGAAACCAACTTTACATTTCACAAGGGTGATACGGCAACATTAAGGTGCGGGGTGATGGATCTTGGAACGAAAACGGTCAGTAATATAAAGAAAAAAATCTTTCGCTTCTCCTTTTCATAATCCTTTATTTACAGAATCAACCAAACCGAGTCTGCAATTTTCATGTAATTTTGCTGATTTTTATGCTTCCGTGGGATCATGTTTTCCCAACATTCGTATGCTAATATGACAGTATTAATACTGTTTACAAAGCAAACTTTCTTTCAATACAGACGTAAGTATAGGTTCTATTTCTTTTTGTAAAAGGATGTTTTTTTTATTTTTGCATAAATGAATAAAATGTTTAATTATGAAGTATGAATAAATAGTTGTTTTATATTAATGTAGGCAATAAAAAAGGATCTGATTTAATTTTATTCAATAAAAGTAAGTTAATGGAGCTTGTTCGTGCATTAACATCTGCAGAAACACGAGGGTGCATAACTCCAAGGACTTCTGCCGATGTTAATTTCGTAAAAGGTGCATTAGCGCTATTCTTGCGTAACAGAATACATCTAAACCAGTACTTTTGCGTTTCGTAAATTATATTTCGTATAAAAAAAACAAAAATAAACAAACAACATTTGTGTGTGTCATGTCTTCCACGTGCTTGATAGTTATGTTTTGATTATGAAACTACCAGGGTCATCATTGAATTAAGTCAATTAACGTTGTGTCCTGAATCATGCATATAAACGAAACGTGTTTACTCACGATCACACTTTTATGCAAGAATTGTTGAATGTCTACTTGCTGTTTTTTGTTTGTTTGTTGTTTCTTTGAAAGCAAAGTGCAAGCTATTTGTCTTGATTTTAGCGTAATTGATATTAACATTGAATACAATCAAATATTTTTGAAAAATGTCTATACTTTAAATACTTTCTCACTGACATGATTTAAAATAAGATTTTTCACGATATATTATGTTGTATTTAAATAATAGATGTGTGTACTTTTTCACCTTGAATAAAACCAGACTTATCCATATTGGAATGTATGTCAACAGATGTTCACATTAATTTGCATAGCCTGAGAAATGTTATACTGATTACAGTGAATGTTTTGTATATGACGTTGTATATCATACTCGATGCGTTTTGTTACAATAGAGTTTTAAACCAGGACAGATTATCACAATAAAATACATGTCTGTATATTTTGCCGATGATGAAAATGAATGTTTTAAACCATTTGTCTAGTAAACCGCCAGAATGTCTCACTTCACATTGTCATATGAATGTTTTGAAAAACATGGAGACGATTACATTTAAGTGGTGCATGTCTATGAAAACTTGATTGTAAAAAAGTTTTACATTTAAAGTAGGACACCAGCTTGTGTACGACATTATGATCGCGGTTTACATATCTTTCCATGATTAACTTATGTTAATGATACACAGGGTTTAATTGAAATATTATTAAAAAAGTTTAACTAAGTATATCAAATACAACACATCAATGTATAGAAATGAGATTGTATACTGCTTCAATATATTTTCAAATGCGGTTAACAAAATAACATGTTAAATAACATTAAAATATCAAATTGTGACATATAACTATTTGACATTGATATGAAAAAAATGTTTTGTCTTTCCTTTATTTCCCTTCAATTCGAGCATTACTTTACATTACTTTTACACTACTTTGCAAATATGAAGCCGCATGTCCATTAACTGCGATTTTCAATCATTAATCTAAAGTGCCGCCTACATATCGCTTGTGTCGTCAGTATTTGATTGATCATTTTCCTGAAAAATAAACAACAAATAAACTTACTTTTTGATCTGTATTTTAAATGTGGGAGAAGATGTATAGATACAGGTGTTTACGTGTCAAACGCGATTAAAGTTTTAGATAAACCATTGAATGTCCAAAAATGTTTTCTTTAATATGTTATTTACTTTGAAGGTTTTTTTTCTTTATTTTTGTAATTATCTTATCTAATCTCACAGTCGGACGGTCGTCCATACGTCGTAAGTTCATCACATTGTTATGGTATTGTTTCAGATTTCTATATTGTATTACACGTACTGTTTTACTTTAAAATAAACACATCTAAAATGCATATTGCAACTTCATATCTTTGTTATGGTACTATATCACGCGGACACTTTTTGTGCATTTAGTATGAGTTTTGTTTTGTTTTCTAAATTTTTACATTTATTCAGTTAAGTCCCTTTATTCTGGTCTCAGTTTGTGACGAATGGTTTCATTTAAAGTGTTTTGCTTCCCTGCAAGAAACCCCTTACCACTGTTTATTTTTTGTATTATCTCCTTTACTTATACTTTTGATCAGCATTTGCGGACAGCAATCTTTTCTTTACAGTTTTCATATTTTCATGTGCATTTATATTGTCTTGTGTTGACTTTTTAAACCTATGATTTAATAGGGAAATACTTTATATTAAATTGTGACATTTTAACGACACGTCTTAAATATTAAATCATACATAATAATAACCCTTTCAAGTCTTATATTTGTTGATATCTGCAATGCAATTACTCGAATCATTTGCCGTATTATGATAAACAATTCCGTAACACGTAAATGCATTCAGTATTGTTTTTTATTATCTTGTTTATAAGCGTATATATACTTATCGCTCAAACCTTAAATAAAGCATGTCGTCTATCATTATCTGCAAGAACTAATAAGCAAGATTCGTACAGTTGGCACATATAGCGATGTTAAATACCGAATTAATGTACACTTAGTAACAAGACAATATGTATTTGTCAATTTCCACATGGTTGGAAAGGTTTAATGGACTTAATTTGGGACTACTTATTATACATTCGGACTTGTTCGTCTGCTTTGCTTCATATGGGTTGTAACCTTGGGTCGCAGGTTTGATCCTCGGTCGAGGTATAATTTTGCAGTTTATCTCTGGGTCATCATATCATTTGTCTCTGGTCGCTGATTTAGAAATCATGTACTGGTAAATAAGTACTGGTTGGCTTTCCAGGAAAACTGGTAAGATGGAAAGACCACAGAGCAAATTGTGTTGAACAAAACTAGACAAACAAACTTCCTGACTCATAATTAAAGCCAATGAAATCTTATATACAATTACTGAAGTGGGATTATTAATTTCTAAAAAACGACAAAGTAAAAAGTCGCAACTCAGATAAATTGTGCCACTCTAAATGTCTAATGGCTATACGATCTGACGTTTTTAATTTTTTTGATAAACATATTACATGCTAACTTTATCTTCGTTCGTTTCAAACTAGTAACCACATAGACTGCAGTTGGAACTACATGTTTTTTGCTTTTTAAAGTGTAGTTTACACGCAAGCCATTGTAAAATAAAAACCAAAATAACACAACATCTGAATCTTCGGTAGTTTAATTTTGTAGAAAGAAATAGCATTATTATACAGGTATTCGACTACATAACATGATAGTATCTGAGTTCTTTCATTTGTAATAAAAATCATTGTAGGTACATGATCTAATACATGGACGAAAGTACTATTAATGCCTTTTTTCAAACTTTGAACTACCCAATGCGTAGGACATGTACGTAGAGTAATTTGTGTAAATAGCAACAAAAGTAACAACCAAAATACATTTCAAAAATAATGTGTTGTAGATTCACATGTATCATTAAACATTACAGGTGTCATGGCGTCGAGATTCGTCTTTACAGCCTCTTGCAATAGGCGAAATGATTTTTTCATCAAACACAGATTACAAGATCCATCATCCGGATAAATCGCCGTATTGGAATTTACTCATTAAAAATGTGCAACCGAAACATGCTGATACTTACGAATGTCAAATCAGCACCAGCGACAAGATGAAAAGAAGAGTGTATTTAAATGTTCTAGGTGAGACAATAGTTGCACTGAAATTCATTTTATATTTACATTACATTTGAGAACTGTCCCGACGATTCGATGAATAAATATGTAGCGTAGCATGTAGCATCATTTTTACAATGAGTTAATACAAATAAATAGACGTCAATGATGGTTCCGACTGTTTGTAAATATACGACCAATGTCGGCTCATAGAAACAGACTTAAACTATTATAATGGATTTCATTATTTCAACCATAGAAAGCTATGATTAAACAATACAAATACTAGACACTTCCTTTTATAAAGGCATTACTCTGAAAAGTAAAATATTTGCTTTATGTCTTTCTATTTGTTTTAAACTGTTTGATGTTCATATTGGTGTAAATGGACAATGCCTTAAGTGGTTAAATGAAATGACACAATATTTGAAACATGTTTAACTCCTCTTAAATGGATGTTCTCAAATCGATATAGCAATAATTTAAATGGGTGTCGGTGTCGGTAAATGATGTGTCACCGGCCAGTCAATGGCTTTGAACTGGTGTATAAAAATCAACTTTTTAGAACCTGTCAGAGTAAAGAGTATAAAATTTGTTTGAAAAAAAAAATATTTATGGAAAAAAACAAAACCCAGCAAATACAAAAAAATACCAATGATTCTCAAGCTATACTTCGTTCTTAAAAAAATACTTTGTACAACCCGATATATTACAAGCCATGATTTGTTTTTTATCTTTAATTTCATTTGATGTTATTTTTGGCATGAAGAAATATATTCAAAATGTCACTTGCTGAAAAGTTTCATAGTCATTTTCATGATATAATTTTATTTCGTTTGCGTAAGTCATTGCTTGGAGTTTTTGTGCTGTGGAATTAAAAGAAAATATTATTTTTATTGCAGACGATGACACGTTTAGAAAACCTGGTAAGAATCTTGATTTTATTTATAAAGAATGCTTTGATAATTGTTCCTTTTTTACTCTTTATTACCTGTTTGTTTTGTTTTCTTCTTCACAAAAACATAAATTGTGTTAGAACACCACTTTCTGAACTTTGTATGTCTAACATCACTAACACCTGTGTTTGCACATTTTGTCTTGCATGTTTGTTAGAACAAAGCGACATAAAAATATCAAAATATAAAAAAGAGTTACAAGTGCGAATAATGAATAAGAGACAAAAAGGACTTGAAGCGTCTATCAAGTATTATATTAAAATCATCAACGGGCATGGAGCATGCAAACACTCTATACATCTTAATATGACTAGAAAACTCAATTTAAATCCTAAACATGCTACAATATTGTTTTTCTTCCTAAGATCGAATTGAATAACTTTTACAAATGTTATTTAATTGGAATCCATAATTATTATATAAACTATGATACCAGATTATTTTGAAATACTTCAATACATAGATGTTTCCACATTTACTTCCGGACATTGTGAAGTTCCATGGCAACATATTACTATTGTTGTTACTTCTTTGCTGAAGCACGTATTACTCTATTACCGATCACTTTATTCTTGTATATGATGCAATTCTTAAAATGCAAAAACTTTCATCATAAAACGCTCCGTATATGCATGACCCTGTTACTTTTGATTATGATCTATATGCACATACTACGTCGCCTTTGCACGTTAAAATGCATTACAGTTTTATTTTTTTTAAATATGCACCACGTGTCTATTGCAAAAATAATATGTGCTTAAATAATAATATTCAACAACTTAGCACTTTTATAAAAAATATGTGATAAAGTTCAACAATTTTGTTTTATTTATATATGTTGTATATTTTTAATTGTAAGGAAAATGTTGACATAATGTGTCTATCTGTTCTGACCTTTTCTTCAAAATTGTCAGTTGTTTTTTGCTCCCAGTTCTTATCTATTCATAGCTAACACGCATGTCTGTCTTTAATCTCAGGGGAAAGAGTTGCATAGTACAAGAAAATAAGCTACTTTACAATTGAATTTGAACATTAAGACCATTCCTTAACTTAATTGTTACCTAACATTATTCCTTCAGAAAAGTATAATACGGGTTCATAATTGCAAAGATAAATAGATAAAAAAAATAAATAAATTGGTCAAGTGTACTCGATAACGTCGTATGCAAAGCTGGCATGTTTTAATATGTCACTCTGCATGATCTGTGTAATATTTCTTTCTTAAAGTCTTGTTTAATGGTATGTTTGGTGCTTTTTTGAACACAGATTTTTAAGGAAGTAAATGTTTAGATTTGAAAGAAAAAGAAAATCACGATACATTTCGTTCAATCTGTATTTAAGAGTCAACATGTTTATTATATAATAAACGTATTTGTATGCTTATCTTGAATATCAAGACATTAAGTGTGAAGTAAATGTCCTAAGTGCTATATTTTTAAACATTAGATCAAAAGGAAGGCAAAAACGCCAATGCAATACTGCAAAATTAAAATAGAAACTTTATCACGACACACCTCAAACATTCGTGAAGAAATTTCTATAAATTTAGAAAATGAATACACAACGTTTGCAACTGACATTTTTGCTGCTGTAACGAAATACAATACTAAGGAATACTGCTTTTGATTTTTGTAGTCTTGATTTTGATATGTTCCGACTTATTACCTTATTCATTTTTATATGAAGTCATTTATTTAGGTTTAGAAACGTTACCATTGACATGGAATCAGATATAACTTGATTCTTTTGTGTAGTGATAACATATATTTGAACATTTCAGTGATCAACATAAGTGGTTTATTTCACGTGGACAAAGGACAGTCAATTAAACTGCTTTGTAATGCTACGGGCACGTCAGCCCCGCCTGACATAATAGACTGGTATAAAGATGGAATACAACTGCAGTCAAATGAGAAAAAAATGGTGACAATTACCAAGAAATTTTCATATGCCACAAGAAAAATGTCAAGTGAATTAGAAATTAAAAATGCAAAGATGAGTGATAAAGGAACTTACACGTGTCGGACTTCAGATTTACAAGTGACAAGTGTTAATGTTAATATTTTAAACGGTATGTATGTTAAGAGAAAATGAAATCTACTATTTAAATACTAGAATATATTTGACTTTCATCGATTTGGAAACGGAATCAGAAACAAATACGAATATGACACGAGAAGATAGGATAGGATAATCAGTAATCAAATGTTCAAATCAAAATCAACACTACATAAAAAATCTATTTATAAGTCAATGTCTGCTTTATTGTTTTCGTTTCTGTGGTTTTACTTGTATTATTTATAGTAGATTGCCATGTATTCCATGCATGTAGTGATCCCTTAGATTCCGATTAATCCATGACATGAAAGTTGTATCGTTTTTGTTTCATAGATATACCAACTATTCCGTTGATTATAAAATTAGGCAATTGTTGTGGCCAAAACTTATTCAGTAAGTATAATACTGCACACAAAAAGATATTATTGAAACACACTTTGAAGAAATCCCTACCCCTGATTTATTTTGAAATAAATAGTGATGGACTGTTTAACAGTTAATGTACATGATTATAATTTAAAGTGTTCTCCTTAGTGTTTCTAATGTCGAAAGGAAACAGCTGTATCTAAACCTTACATAATATTCCTTTCAGAAATGAAAAGTACATTGTAATTAAAATATTCTATAGACAATGTCATGCCCATTTCGATTAATATTAATTAAGTATCAAAATAGAATTCATTTGAGTGACTGCAATCAAGAAAAGGACATTTTGATTGTATTGCTGTGTAAAAATTCACTTCATATTTTATTTGAAACCGATATCCTCGTGCAGTAATATTATACACATTTTAACAGCTAATATTCTGCATTCCTATAACGTTGTTACACATATAGTGTCCTCGTGAATTAAAAAAATATGTCTTCTTGACAGACATTTAAAATCAATATATATATAAATTTACATATGAATATCATTTCAAATTTACTTTTACTTAGAAAACGGCATATCGCTATTTCTCATTTACAACCTTTTCCGAAAAGCATTTGACAACCAAACTTTATGTTTGCGTAATATTTTCTAATTGTCAATTGAAAAACAAATTTATTGCAAGTTCTACACCAATATCGATACAATAAAAGATTGTGACCCTATTGATATAAATTCATCTACAAATGTACACTTTTGGACTGATTTCTTGCTTTTATGCGTCGATCATTTAAGCTATTTAAGGCTGAAAAATCTTTCCCTAATGTCTTGAAATATAGAATGAATGTAAATATGGAAACTGCTACTTAGTATCAGAATGCAGTAAAGCATATGAACTAACTTGTTTACATGTTAAAACAATAATAAAAATATGCTTAAGTAAGGGCACATTGATTTTACAATTTAATAATAAGCAATTTGAGAATTACATTATCATCGTTAAACATATTGATAACGGAAGTTACGACATTGTTCAATTTTAAATGTTTTTAATAAGTTCGTGAAAATCTATGAATGCTTCTTTTTTCACTTATTTCGGCACCATGATTAATTTCAATTTTACTTTTCTTTTTCAGCAGAGAAGCCTAAAATTAAGAGAGGTATGTAAATAATGATTATTTATAGTATCTTTGACATTATGCACATGCTTAAAATGAATATCAAAATATACAGTGCCTTTTGCATCTATATACGAACAACATTAATATTATACGTTTTCCAAACAGAAAAGAAAATGTTTTATTATTAAAATGCAGTCCGTACAATAAGTGTCTATTTCATTTGAATTCTTTATTGTTACAGTTCCAGAAGACGAAAAGCCACAAGCAACAATATATAAAGGAAACTCTAATGGATGTTCGAGAAAACAGAATGAGTACTCACATAAGCTATTACTTGTCACTTCAACTTTATTTGTCGTGTACTTAATGTTATGGTCACATGACGCAAGTTGATACTTTGTGAAAATCACGTGATTTCTTTCACGGCTCAAAAGCTGGAGAGCACTAGTTGTTAATGAAAATATGGCTTATATATGTTACAAGAGTAATTCAGTTGCCGGATTGCACCTGCTTACATGGATTCACAAGATCAAAGACAAGAAATACAGGATTTATAGCTATGGGAATATACGTTCATATCCAGAGCTTAAAGCAATAAAATCCTGTCCGACAGAAGTGTGTCTTTGAAATTCAAGGATCCTTACTAACATTGTTTAATGTAAGTTTTGGAGAAAATACTCATTGCGTTTAAACAGTCACGATATATGTGTTAGGAGGAGCACATTGTATTCTTCTGTACAAAATAAGCATGACAAACAAATATACAAGGATATAGTGAATATGTTTCATTGTATAAATATTTTGGTGTTGAAAGAGTTGGTTGACAGCTTCACCTTTTGACAATAGTATAACTGATAGATGGTCGATCATTATGTTATAACTTTATTATTGGCATACAATCATTGTTTTGTTTTCCTGTTGAGCAGCGCATCAATGCGGATTTGGCAAAGAACAAATTCACACATCATTATAACAGAAAGAAAATTATTTAAATTGAAAAGTTTTGATGCTGAAGAAGCTTATATACGTATTTTCTCCCAGAAATGCAAAATGCTCAAAGTACATTGACGTAGCTCAAACTAAAAATGCTTATACGTTCAGAGATTATTGATTAGAACTTTCTTAGATCAAATGGCCTTAAAATAATTAAATATACTAATCAGGAGATTGAGACACATTGAGATGATTTTGATGTGTATATAAGGTAAATGTATTAAATTGTCTTTATGAATATTTATAAAAAGGTAACAGTTTACAACGTTTTCGTACATAGTTCAAATTGATATTTTAAAGCGCAGACCCTGAAATAAACCCTCATAATTATGTTAATCTAAAACGTAATTATTCAAATATCGTTGATAATCAAAACGTCATGAAAACTATTTGAAAAATCATGTTATGTATCATGTATCAATATAGCGGCACACCAAAGGTATCTCTCCCATTAATATTGATATACACGTGCATTTGCATACTTACTTGTACGAGTATTAAATTGTATTGCTAACAGATAATTTATTAAAACAAACAATAAAGACAATATGCATGTTCTAGAATGATTAAGATTCAGTACAATTAATATTTTCATAGTCTAGATTGCATTCAATATGAAATATAATGACGGAACCTTACAGAAAGACGATTATGATTTTGTTCTGCAAGTAATTCTTGTGCAAGCATAGTTTATAATTTGACAGCGTATAGCTTGTTTTACATTTAATTTTTTGGAGATTATATCCATTATAGAACATCTTATTTAAACAGAGACAGACTAAAATAATTGTATATTAAAATATAAATTAATTTCAATTATTAGAAATATCATCTGATTCAGATTCTAATGTTAAGATAAATATATTTATTAAGGGATTACATTTCCAAGAAGATGATTAGATTAAAGTCCCTGTTCAAGTACATCATGAATTAAAGACAATGATGACTCTATAACCTCTAGATTGCATCCATGATACAAATATAATATAATTGTACCGATTCGGATGAACATACGGTTCTAATGGATGATTTGATTACAAATGATCATAACCTTTACACATCGGCTTATTAAGAAATATTATAAATACAGTATGGAATTAATGTACATTTTTGTTTCAAAGTAAGCAAAAACAACACATTCTTTCAAGTTGGTCCTTTTAAATGCAAACACAAATGAAGATATACAGTCGATGCGTATAAGTTCTCGGAATGTGTTACTGTAACGAAACATAGTTCTTTAAATTCTACCACTAAATTGTTGTTAATAATAATAGAATTACCTGTTTGGGTATTTTTTGTATGGGACCATTGTTTTGTTGTCATAAAAGATAAAGTGCTAAATTTTATGCTAACATTATACACTATATAGCTTACAAAAAAAATACATGTATTGTAAATATTAATTGCAGAGCAGAGCTTAAATAGTGATTCAATTTGACATAAGCTTGATAATGATAGTAATAGTTGACAATTAAGTATTTTTGATTGTTTTTATATCTTAGTTGAATTCGTGGTCTCCTTACATGGAATATAAGAAAAACAAATTTAAAACAAAAAGTAATATTTTACAACAAAAAACATTTAAAAAATATTGTGTTGCCTTTATGCCGCAACGCCGTGTACTATGTTAAATCGTCTGCAATTTGGAAAAAAAGATATAAAACAGATACATATATGTTTTATAATCTATATATCGTTATACATGTGTATATGCTAATATTTTCTGTGACGCAATGTCCTGCTTACTACAAACAGAAACAATATAAAAATAAATATACACAGCAAGAAAATTGAAAATCAAATAAGTATCCAATTTTGCTTAATTTTGAATGTAAAACAAAGTCAGCCTGTTTATATGTCAACGTCATTTGTTACATGCAAATTACATTTCTGTGAAAGTTTGTTTAAGGAAATGAATAAATGTTAATGATCGTGTGAATATAACTTACATTGTAAATTTTTTCGACAATGTAACCTAAATGTCGGCTGCATATGATCACATTGAAGAGAATTATTGCATAAATAGTTCTATTTTATATAGAATGATCTTGTAATTATATTTCTATCATTACATAATAAACTGATTTTTTCTTTTTATCTATTGTATATGTTTTTGTCGACAATTATTACCATCACAATATTAGTTCATTTCATTCACGTTTCATCTGTTAACAAAACTCACATTTTAAGTATAACTTTAATGCTATTTGTTTTTGCGCTTAATAAACATACACATAATAATGCGCTTTATTGCTAGATAAATACTACCTCATGCTGTGTCGTCATGTGTCGCATGTGTCACATATGTCATTATATAAACATATTCAATTTAATGCGATCGTAGTCAATTTATTGTTCTTACACCATTTTAAGTTTTCCTATTCAAATCACATAATACATTTCAGAATGAGTCAAAGAAGGTTGATTTCCACTTTGAACACTACACAAATGACACATTTTTAATGCCAAATTTTAACATTCTCAAAATCAATGGGACAGAATTGGTGTTACAAAAGAGTTATAAAATTACAGCTCAGGTGCTTTTGATGGATTTGGATATATTGGGTAATATCGTAAACCAATTAGTTTTGTTTTCCTTACACGCGTGGGATTAGTTAGGCATTGTATCGTTGTTAACATAAAGCCTGTCCTTGTACTGAAATATAGAGGAATTCTAAGTCTTGCAAAACAATGATGCAAAATAATCTCAGTTTATCAAGACAATAACAATTTAACATAAATTATATATGAATGTTTTTAATCACTTGAATAAAAAATAAAATGTATTACATAAGTTTTTGACAACAATACAGGAATTGTATTAATTGCAGTTTGATAACACTTCAAGTCGCATTTGTCAACTTCAGTAACAAATGCTATTGCGGTTAAAAAAATCCAGGGCAACTCTCTAAGGAAGCACAATACATGTATAAATTCAAACACGTGTGTGCATCTTTGCCTCTGCAATTTTCAAGTACAATTTTGCTCACCATTCATGTTTGACGCAATGCTTATATTATCTAAGTCTCTATATATCTTACGTCTGCCTTTTCAGTGACGATTGAAAGTACCATTAATTTATGCCAGATAATTTGTCAAAATCACACCGTAGTCACAGAAACGGTTTTATTTGGTTGATACTTTTAAACGATTCTTCGCAGCACTTTTTATAAAGGAAATGCAACTCACAAAATGGATACTTTTAGTGAAAAGGCAATATCACCAAATCTATATAAGCATTTGAGTTACGGTTCTGCACAAATATGTATATGTATATTCAATTAAAAAAAACAACATAGTATATATTGTTTTTCATGTCAAACTATTGCTTTCAGTTTCAAGCAAGTATATTCAGAAATTCGACTTTAAAATTGCCAGTTTTTGTGAGAGCTTGTATATCATAAATGAAGGTTATTTATTGTGTTTTGCTATGACATTGCCAGGTTTTGTCGAAACTTGACAAAAGGCAATATTGTATATATATGAATATATATATATCCTTTTTATTCAAATCAATTTAGTTGTTTTGTAAGTATCTCATTTCCTATAACTACTTTGTACAAGAATCTTCATTGTATATATTTATTGTATAAAATATTTTTCCGTTGTTTTCGTTCACCACATCTTTAAATATATACAATTATCGAAGTTTAATTCATTTTTGTCTATGCTTTTTCACATCTAAAAAGAAACAACAAATGAACACAAAGAATTAAATGAACGCAAAAATTATATTAACGAAAATGTTGTAACATACATGCCGTGTTACTGCAATGTGTGGAGGGGGTGTAAAACCTAAACTAGCATAGTGTATAGTTGTCATATTGTAGCAGTAGATAAAAGTGTGGAAAACATTTTGCAGTAATAAAACTGACTTAAACATACATTCCAGTTACTGCAATAGTCTTTTAACTCCTACCTCTTTTTATTTATCTGCTACAGTTTCTTGCGATAAGTAAATGCTTTGTTATATTAAACAAACATATTTTTCCTAGAATGATTAAGATAGTTGTTACGTCAAAGTAATCTAGAATTGTTCACTTTGTATTATCTTTCCATAGCGTTCATTTTTAAATATTTCTTTTATCATCGATGCATCTTACATCATATCATAAGTCACGCTATAAAGTGCAGATCTTTTTGTAGTTTCGAGTGCTATTCAAATAGACTAACTCCGAAATGAAAACTATTTTGTTTTTTTTTCCAACTAATTTTTAGGTACAAACAAACTTTTTCAGTTACAGCTTCGAAAATAAGCGCAACTGATTGACTAATCTATTGTAACGGGTAGTGCACCGTGAATCTATAACGGTAAAAGTTTTTTTGTGCCTACGGATTAACGGGATAAAACCCATAGGATAACATCTATTCACACATTCAGATTAGCTGTCCTCAATTATCCACTTTGACCTTGTATCAGATAAATATAAATACCAGATTTAAAACAAATGAAAGTAGAGGTAAGTTTGCTGTTATAAGTAATGTGTAGGTTGTTACAAAATGTAAATAGTAACGCTATGTTGCGTCTGTGTAATTTTATTTTCTATTATTCGATTCTAGATTATATATGAAAGTCACTCTAAAATAAAAATGAAAAAAAAAACAACAACAATAATGTAATGATGCAGACATATTAACTTCAACACACTTATAGACACTTCTATGTCCTATTGGAAAAATAAATGTATGTTGCGACAGAGTGACAGCTTGAAGTCTATTAGACTGTATAGAGATGTTTCTTTCTTATTACAATATTATGTTTTTACATTTTCATAGTAGTTGAATAATATCTTTATAATTTAATTTGAAAAAACGCCTTCAGTAGAGAAATACTTTCTAAATGTGTTCTTAATATCTGCTGTGTTCATTCATTGCTTATATGCTGTTCTCTTTGGTACACTTACACTTATTATTATGCATTTTTGTTGATCATCTTATGTCAATATTGTTTCTTTTATTCAATTACCGGTTAAAATGTTATTTGTCACTGTTGATGTCATTAAAGGAGATACATTATTGTGTTGACTTGTCTTTATTCTTTATTTAACACTCAATTGTGAAATACATCATTAATAACTGTGTTCATTCGCTCTGAAATATTCTTGTATACTTGTAAATAATGTGACAATGCATTCAGTTCTGTTACAAAGGACAAGCAAAACTAACAACATGTAGTTTCTAATGTCTGGATTGAATCACAAAGTCTTTTCTTGTCGGTTTGATCGGTTTTTAACAAGTTTAATATGACGAATGGACCCGGATTCCGTTGCTGCATTGCCCTATATTCCGTCTGATAAAGTCATACAAACATTAGTTCAAGGAGAGACAGTGTATTTTCTTCTAATTATACATTTCCGTTAACTTTGCATTTCGTCGGCTTTATGAGTTATGAATTTGCCTTTCTATACAAGAATTATAATTATGTGTTTGAATTGACGATTTACCGTGTGATCCAACAAATTGTGTAGACTTATCAAAGAACATTGGCGTCACCATCGCAAATATACATGCTTGGAAATATCTTATAAACTACGTCGTAAAGAGGCAACCGACGTTAGTAACATTTTTCCTAAGGAACATCAATGTTTACTTTTAATCCCCTGAAAGTGCGATAAACAAGATACTGTTTATCCCCAACATAAGTATCGTTCAAGTTCCCGCCATCACCATGAAACTCCCTTTGACGGTATTGAATTCTTGCAGCACGATGCTAGCGCTGGATCATGATTGCCACATCATTGCCAAACTTCCTCAAACATGTAAAGTCCAAAACAAGAGCAATCCATTCCCAAGCATTTAGACACATCCTAGCAATAATTGACACATACGAATATTTTTGTCTAGATGATCAATTGATACGATACTGGATTACATCGCCCCTAGATATCATTACCTGTCTAGACCAATGCGACATCAAGCTGTTAGTCAGATAAAAGTCTAACGGTTAAGCTCATATGAAGAGACCACGGAGACTTTTTAAACAGGGCATTCTATATGGCATAAAGTTAAGGTGTTTAAAGGAAATAACAGGCAAACAGACATGTCGTGTTTTTAATGTATTTCAAGTGTTAGTTAATTCGCGTAAAATTAAGCGTAATAAAATTTAGCAAAAACTCAAGATGTATATACTGGGCGTTTTCGATTTATATACCGAATTTCCGCTACCCTTAATGGGTGATTATTTGCAATCTGTTGATAATTAATGATTCATTTGGATAGAATAATCACGTGTTCACACATCACCTGACAATTTTTCATAACTGATGATTTAAAGATGGGAACATGCAGGCTTCATTTGTTAAGTTATAAAATGTGTAAATATTTCTGTGGAATAAAGGATAATGATAAGCACCTGCATAGTTTACAGAACGGATATTTTTTTCCTGTATTTATGATATTAATTGTAATATAACTTCAATAAAACACAATAATGCCTTTCGTCTTACAGCTTTAACCATTTAAGTGATTGGAATGAAATATTGTAGTATTTATCTTGCTACAAGCGATAGGAACATTGTCATAATTATTTCATTTTTCGATACTTACAAATAGTTATTGCGAAAACTTTCAAATTAAATAATTTATGTGTTTTCCTATTATTTTATTATTTCTTGTAGTAGAACCGGATTCCGTTATTTAACGTCAACACTTTTGTTCAAAGTTACGATATTTATGTTTATTTTTTATCTATACATTAGGAAAAATAAAATTACATAATATAACGAATTAATTTTTATTCATTCTATACATCTCATATAAGATATCATACCAACAAAAATATCACATTTTATATAACATGTAACTTGACTTGGAACAATTATCACATACACTGCTTGTCACAAAAGGACAGTTGGATGTATATTTGAAGGATAGCCCGTTAACGTGATAAAGGTTATTTATTTTAATAAAATAATCAATATTTGTACAACGCAAATGTAAATGTATTTGTGTAGCAAACGTAAACGAGTATATTAAACATTTGCTTTTATTCAAAAGGACAGCAAGGAAACAATTGGATTATCTACAACAATATCACATCTTGTTTCTACTACCAGTGTCAACAGAGATTCTTTCCCGAACTTATATTAAAGTTTAATTCAGCATAAAATTGTTCCGCTTGCGGGATATTGTTGTGTACAGAAATGATACGATATTAGTGTTTTGAGACTTTGAGATGTTCTTCAGGTTATTACATATTGTATGAATGCAGACATATACCACTCATCATTGTAAAGAAACAATGCTATGCCTTTCTGAAATAACATATTCTACTGTTTTCCCCGCGGTAAAGAAATTGCTCCAAAGTATCATTCACGGATACGATCATATTTAGTTTTTAATTATTATGACTACGATAAAGTATAATAAGATATGAACTGTTTACCACTCAATTTAATGTACCGATATTTATTAATTACTTTTGTATGAACCTTTTCGTTTGTTTCCACATTTTAGTTCATTATTTTGTTATAAATATGTTTGTGTAGGTGCCCAAAACAAAAGATTTTGTATTAAACTTCGTTAGTTTAAAACAATGTTGGTCTGGGCAAAAACAACGAAATGTGTCAACAATCAATTTACACTTTTTGCTTCAAGTAAACGAAAAGTAAGTTCAAATCAATACAATATGGACTTTAAGTAAAAAGCTTTAATACAGCTGCTTCATGATAACTGAATTGTTTCTATCGGAGTTTAAAATGTATAGTTAACATTGTGAGGTTCTATCGGGTATAAATATAAAATATATCGAGTAAGAGTTTTTACTTCAGGTTTATTTTTTTTATTACAATGTAGTTGAAGTAGCAGCTGATGTACAGTCACAGCTGATGATTAACAAGTACAATTTATATACATCCAGGTGTTAAATTTAAGATGTGAATGCATAACAAATCGAATATGCATACCTGTTTGGATTCTTAACATTAAAATTTGAAAATTTAACAACCTAAAAAATTGTAATGAATTTCGGTTCGATAGCAATTTTTATATAGCTTTTTTATTTATATTAATTGAATATAGTATAGCTATTAACTAGTAAGGGGGTCTTTAAAAATATCATCAACTGAAGTGATCAATTAAAGATAATTTTCGAGGAATAATTTTACAAGTATTGTTTATGCATAGACTACAAAATGCATGTAGACGAAGGATGGTTTTAAGAATCAAGCAAAAACAAACGTTCTACTCTGCTTTAAGGCGAATAGATTATCCTTTTATTACAAGGCGATATGTATAGCAAAGATAGCCATTGTTAATATACATACTTGTTGCACGGACACAGGAAAAATATAAGTGGACTTTCTAGTTTTGTAAAGAAAATGAGACCTTTACCCCATAATAATTGCTGTGTATTATTGTGCGTGTTAGATCCATACATGTTAATTTACATTTACTTTTCTATTTGAATGAATTTCAGTTGTGAACATATGATAAAGCATGATAAAAATAAACAAGTTCATAACTTACTTTGAACAAATAACTTATAATTCACAATACCAAGCCTGCTTGCTGTATTGAAAAATATTTTGCATTTGTTGTCTTATTTAAAAAGTTTACAAATTTACAATGTAATTAAGTGTGTTTTTTAAACGTACATGTACATGTATGTACTGCAATAATGTTCACAATATATCAAACTTGTAATAGCCGCTTTTTTCGAACAATTTCACAGCAAATTGAAAGGTATGTTAATTAAATCATACAAACAATTGAATCTATAACCAATTATTTACATGAACAGGTACGATATTTCAGGTTCTGTGACCCGTAACAAGCCGTTTCCGCCGTAAACTCACGATTATGTCAAGTTTGACTGTTACCATACATTAATATAGTAATAGAAAACATGACACCTAGTTACGTGCTACAAGTGGCAATACTTGCAATGGAGATTTTGTTGGTATTTTTGTCCAAGGGAAAAATATGAACAATTTTCATTTTTATAGATTACCATCTTATAACGAAACTTATTTTTATGAGGTTATTGTAACAGACACAATGAATTTGATGCAAGATAAGCATACATAATGAATGTAATATGACAGAAAGAAGAACAGAATTACATCAACTTGTTCTGCAGGTACTTGTGATAATGATATCTATGACAATTGTTCGACAACTTGCACAAGTTTACTCGAATATAATGACTTTTATAACAAATAGATAGATAGATAGATAGATAATTTTATTGACGTAAACAATCCAGTTTTTTGTCATACAATTACATATACATAAATATCATAATTTTATCATGTGATTTAACAAACAGTGAACACAATTTACATTGTCAACATATTGTTTGTGGAGAATGAATAAGATGTTTACATATATATGAATCAATATCATAAACAAAATCAAAATGAAATAAATTCCTTCCATAAAATTGGCAAAGTTAACATAGCATAGACTTTCTAAGTATAAAAGCATTGTAAACAAATTTGGAAAGATTTCTAATTATAGCTTGATTACCACTCTTAAAAAGCTCTGTAAATTTAATAACATTTGGTCTTCTATAAAAATATGCTTTGATATATTGTTTTCTAAAATCTTCGTACAACGGACATGATATAACAAAATGGTATTCATCTTCAATATCTCTGTTTTGACAAAAAATACAATAACGCTCATTTCGTTCAACTCTGTTTCTAGAATAGCGTCCAGTTTCAATAGCCAGTTTATGTGAAGATAATCTTAATTTTGATAAAGCATTTCGAAACTTGAATGGCAATAAATCTAAATATGGTTCAAATCTAAATTCTGTTTTAAATTGCTTATACATAAATAATGTTTCACATTCTTGCAATCGTTGAAACCAGTTTTGTTTAAAGGTATCAATTAGTCGAGCTTTAAAAAGTAAATGAAATTTACCTAGATCAACACAGGATGGGTTGTTCCAAACATATGAAAACCCATAGCAGTCCAAAGAACGAATGCAGGTGGTGCATTGCAAACAGAAACTTCAAACATTCGAGTACGCACATTGTTGTCGTAACTAATCTGTATTGTGCCCGTAGTCAAATAATTCT